TTCCATTTTCTACCCTTATTCTGCCTTCATCGAATGCCTTGAAGATGTTTTTTTCAGAAAAGTAACAATTTAACAATTAACAAGAACAAGTTGAAAATGTATTAAACAATAGAGAATAGTGGAAACACAAGCAAATCTGTACAATGAATGGCAGTAAAAAAGGCAGTGAAACAGGGCAGCCAACGAATGTAGTAATACAACAGCCTTCAATCCCTTTTGTGTGGAAAAATCATTCCAAATTCTCCAGTCATATCGCTAAAACTCAGTAGTTAGAGAGAATTTCTACAATTCTTGGAATGCTGATACAGCCGAAGAGACGACACAGATCTGGGAACCTGTAGAGGCAGAGGTTGGACACAACGGTTGAATACGCGGCACAATAAGTGTACTGTCTTGAGATCGAACCCCGCATATGGTAAGTTGGCACTCCACCGAAGTTGATACAAAACTGAATTACTTTCACTAGATCACCTAATTTTAAGGTGAGAACCCGGTTTGGAAGAGGGGCCTACCGTGTTATCTTATCCCTACTCCTAGAAAACACTCGTTTGGGCTATCGAACACTACGGATAAGATAATAAGTGAACGACTCATTTCGAGCGTACTTTTGATAAGGACCGGTGGATGTCCTACATTCCACACTACCTGCCCACATCCCATCCACTTTTCTGCACAGGTGATCCACCCTGGAGCTCCTCCACCCTTAGCCTAGGCAGAGGTGTCCATTCTCCTGGTCCAGGACCGCTTTCCTGAACCATTGCAGGCCAAATCATGGAAGCACCTCAAGGTTACGTCCACTCTACACCGGTACTTAACAGTTTAATGAGTCGATTGCTGTTATAAGCGCTCTCATTCTCATCTTAAGAATACGAGAAAATAATGGAGATCGTTATAATAATGGAGAGCCTCCCTCTAAACTAGATTTTCGTCTTTCAAGAAACTCTAAATGTGAACTAGGTCGAGATGTGCCAAGTGGTCTGGGCAGCTACATATGTCGTCCTGAGGAACAACAAGAATATACCGTAACAGATATCGGCCATAGCAAACCAATTCCCGGAGTGCAAGTCTTGGAAACACTTGGCTGTGATCAGCTCATATCACCCTTGAATTGAAGCACTATAATGGTTGTCATTAGAGCCAATGGCCACGATTCCGAACGTCCATGCACACAACGTGTGCTTGCGTTTCTTTATGAATGCTGTACAGGATTGTAGATCGGATGTCTTGCGAGCACCTATAATTGGAACATGATTTGCAGACTATTTTATCCAAATCAACAACGACTCACGGTATATTATTGGAGCAGGTCGCTCCCGGTACAGTAGCATTGCGGGAGGTTCGTGAAAGAACTTCAGACCGCAGACCCCTGTAACTGTAATAGAAATAAAATCAAGAAATAGGAGCACGTACGATCCACACTATCTGACCACAGTTGCTTCTTTGCACAAGCTTTCGAGGACGTAAGCAAACCAGCCCTTTTGGCGCCTCGGCTGGGACCGTATGCTGAATGTTGGGGAGGGGATGGAGTCCCCGACGGTGGACAGACCCTCAACACGCGGTCCCAGTAATACACTGCGCGGGATCCATAAGTCATTTTGTTCAAACTACTTAGCTTATTATTTTTGTAAGGAACCTAGTCCTAGTAGTTTTATGGCGAATGCTCCTCACCTTATGCTTTGCAGCTCAAAAGCGTCAAGCGATTCCGGTTGACAGTTTCGCTCGACGATGAAACGAGAAGTGCCTCCACATCTGTGAACACTGGGACGCGGGAAAATCGGATACCGGTACCTGGAACGTTCCGGCATTGTTGAGATCATCGGCAGACAAACACTGCTGCGGATTGGTATCCGAGAAGAGCGCTGAAAAAAAAAATGCTATAAAAAAGCCTTGAATAAGGTTTTGATTTTTTGCTAAACACATACTTATTTGAATAGTGTATCGGCTTACGCAAGATTCTTTAGATAACCCAAAACTTGTTCTATAAAAACGAGAACGAGCCAAGTGTTTCAAAACAATCACTTGGCTTGAAAGCACATCTGCCATTCAGGGAGTGGATCAGACTCTCTACAGAAGGAGTGAGTTCTCGAGGTTTGCAGCCTTAGTTTGGTGGACACCCTCACGACGTCCAGCTGCTGAGCGGAATTCTTGCCAACCGAATTGGATCACAATGAGCCGGCAGTGAAAAAAAAACTCTCGATGCGACTTAGGTCAAAAGGATGGTTCACCTTCGTAATGTGGCTGTGCCAAGACAATGAGAGACTGAGCGCGGAGAGGCGAATATGAGGCGAGAGAGCACAACAGATGAGAGGGCGCCGGACAATGGCCTCTTGCGGATGGGGAAAATTGAAGCTGTTGCAGCTAACTTTGCAAGGCTTTGCGCTCTTAGTCAAAAACAACTTGCGTCCAAAAAATCGTGTGCGACCCTGCATGATTGCCTGGAAGTTTACTCACATGAAACGGTGTATCGTTGACAGAATTTGGCCGTTGGTGCCGCTTATATAAAACATTCAAACAAGAGCTTTTAAACACTACAACGGTATGCGTAATTGTTTTTGGTACGTTAAGCAGGTGACACTGACACATTTGTAGCGGTTCTAGGCGTACAGAAGAAGGAGCAGCGAAAAATCGGAGTGTCAGTGAATGCCTGATTCAGGAGACAAACTTCTCATCAGAGTCAATCAACTTTCCATAGCTCCTAGGCTGATTAATCGCGCGAAACTTGTTCGAGAGGATGAAAGCTTTACCTTTTCTTATGGCATTTCTTTGAGTTACAAGTAAAAGTCGCTCTGGAAGGCGCACTTCGACACATTTAAAGGAGATTCCATGACGAATTAAAGGTTGGAGAGGTGGTCGATATACCACTAGAAAGGAATGGCCACCGGTGCAGGCGCGCACGTGACGCTCCAGCAGCGAACTCCGGCTTGTTATCCTTCGCCGTCGCACTAGAGCCACGAACACTAGCCTTTAACAGAGCGGAGCGTTCACGTACAAGCGGGCAACCCGATGAGATTGTCCCAGTACGTAAATAAACGAGCAAAAGATTTCCAATTCTTGTGTTTTTGAGCCGTTTCTCTTGGTCTTTCATCATCAGCGCGGCCTCAGCTTGAAATACTCTATCTTGCTTTTGGTGGTGGCCTTTCACCGTGAAACGGGCCTTGTGTTGTGGCACAGCTACGAACAGCGACTTTGCGTCAACTCCCAACAGTTTATTTAGATATAAGTTTAAATTTTAAGAGAGTTGTTACCGTTTTTGGCTTCTCGTCGGCGATGTCAACATCGATTTCATCAAGCAAGCCGAGGCTTCTCGTTTTTCTCGTCGGTTTCTTGAATAAACGACAAGCGTCGCCGAAAGTTTCGCTCTATTCGTTTCAGTAGGAGCGGTCATAGCTGAACGAAAAATGTTTTGACCGTTTTTCAGTGGACGGAGGTTCATTTGAAATTGAAGCGAGCCGAGGAAACGAGTCAGAAATGAGACCTAGAAACGTGGCAATTCGGAATATTAAAATCTATCAAAAATACCAGTACAACAGATTGTTTTTCTTCACCTGCTGAGAATAGCAAATTCTCGATCTTCGGCTGAAATTTGCAAAGCTTCAAGGAGGAGAAACCAGAGCCAAATGAGGTGATAGTAAAGGAATTCGTGGACTACCGTCCGCATAGTAACCCACCACCTTACTCCACTCCTCCATCATACATATTCCTCCCCTTTTACTGTCACTTGACTCTCCTACCCTCAAACCGACCCGCCTATGTAGTAGAACAACGAAGATAGAAATAGTAAGACCGTTATCCATGAATTCAAAAAAATGTATTGGAAATTCCCTTTTTTACCGAATCCCGATCACCCCTTGGAAATGATCCACTCATTACCGTATAAACAAATAAGACTTTATTTAAAGAACCCTCCCCTTCAAAAAGCGAGAAAGTGTCGGGTGCAGACCATACACCACAAGTGACGACGGCCTCCACAAAATGTTAATGTTTTCTGCCAATGAAATGATTAGCCTGTTGCAGTTGTATTCTATCAGTTGTCACTAATTACAACTATCATTTACCAAAAATCAGCTATCACTATGAACCACTACTAACCAGATTTACTTGGAGGCCGTCGTCAGTTGTGGTGTTTGGTCTGCACCCGACACTTTCTGGCTTTTTGAAGGGGAGGGTAGGTATGGCCTTGTCTCAAGCCTCTTGGTGATCTCAATGAGTAATAGCTGCTAGAGACCCAAAAATTTATCTCAGAAAAGAAGCTCGGATGAACAAGAAGTTTTTTTGGTAAAGGACCAAGCTTTTTAAAAAAACGTTCATGCAGGATTCTGCGCTTAGCACATTTATCAGGTCTGGACTAGTCGTTTTTAACCTTGGTAAATGCAAATTATACCGAATCTACGAGTTTGCCTCAATAGTTTATGATTTCGCCCTACCAACCCATCGTGGTCCCATCCTAACCCTGCTAATTGTAGTTCAAGAGCCCAAGCAGTCTACTCAACGTGATTGCAAATTTTGCAAAGGTCTATTCTATACTGAACAATTGAATAAAGAATGAGTTTGCCTTCCAATTGAAAAAATAAGAGGCGCAAACGTGACGGAGTTCCTGAAATGACATGGGGTGACGGTCGACAAAAATCGAAGATAGCGTCGATCACACGCTTTTTTACGAGCGGAGATATGAAAAAATGACGAGTGTGATAAAATTAGAATTGCGTAGGAATCGCAAAGACGGAAAGTTTGTTGTTGAAGAAAAACATGTGACGTTCATCCTGATAACTAAAAAGCCTATAAAAGTCCGATTGAGGATCGAGCGCCAAATTTCTGGCGCGGTGGGAAGCTGCACGAGGGTAGGAAAGGTTTCTCACGCAGCTATTCATTTCCAAGTTGGCTCAAAAAAGCCCATTTCAGTGCTTTCAAATGCAGTGGTTTTGGTTTTAGTATTGTTTTTTCCAAAAGTATGTTCAACATGGGGCAAAGCATAGGTTTTAAACGTTTTCTAAAAGGGATCTCTTACCGGCTCCCTCTCTGAGAGTCTTTCATCAGCTTACAGTTAGTTGGACCTGGTTCTACCTGATCAGATAACCTATCACACAAAAATTAGTAGAATGCCTCGAGGTGTTCACATCGCGAAAACGAGGAGAACAGAGAGAGAGGTTGAAGGCTTGATGGGGGGGGGGTGTTGAGTGTTGGCGTATATAGTTTTTAGTTTATTGACTGCTTCAAACTCAGTATAGATTACTCTATCCGTTGAAACTATGTCTATGTTCCTCATGGTGAATCACCCGGAGCATTATTTTATATGTATAAAAGTAAATAGATAAGATCTGGAGTGGTAAGTAGGAGAGGAGTTTTACGGGTCTGCTGGAAAGAGAAAATTTTTTGCCTTCCAAAATTCGTAGGAACGAATCGGTAGTTGTAGCTGTTGTCGAATGGACATTTCTGTCGAAGGCTCATTCTGCATTGTGAATACTGCTTGGTGAATGAAATGCTAATCAATAGAGATCGATAAAAATAGTTCTTATAGATATTTTTATATAAGATGAAGAAAGATGTTGCTCTACAGGGAGGGGCTGGATCAATGGGTGATAAATGGGGAATTAAAGCAAATAAATAAATAGCAAAATAAATAATTAAATATAAACATAATTAATTGAAATAAAAAAAAATATAAAGAATAAACAAGGGAAAAATCTTCAAAAATTCGATATTAAAAAAATGGTGGGCCTAAATCGTCTATGAAAATAGTACTTCCTTCAATGTGTACTGCTTCGGAGAGGATGGCCAGATTAAGAAATGCGCATGGTAAGTACAGGCGTCCACGTGTGTTCGGACATTCCACGACTGGTCATGGCAGGGCGTGCTTCATGGGCGCCTTGAAAGTGCTGATGGAAGCTGAGCACGATCTACTTCCCTATATCTTTTGAGAAAGAAAAGCAGGAGACGTGGGGCAAACGCGGACTTGGTCGCCTGCGCGCACGGAGGATCGCCACCGGGAGCGAATAGTCTTGGAGTTCTCCGAATAATCAGATTTGGCTACAACTAAGATATCGTCAAAAGAGAAAAGGTTCAGACTAGGACGAAGAATAAGCGAGTCAGATGTCTATCGAGTCAAACGGAAATAGGAGAGTTTAGTGTCTTTTTTGTCTCACAAGGTGTTCAATGAGAGAAGGAGTGTGCTGGAGGATTGTTAGGATGGATTGTGTGAATTTGGTAACTTCGTCAGCATGTCGTTTCACAGTATAGTGGATCCCCACCTCTGCGACGCATTAGAACTGACAATAAGGGTGGACTATCTTTACGGTCGTTCAGCGGCAATGATTCCATAAATGCAGGGCGTCACCATAATTTGGAAGTCGAAGACGAGCAGTATGGATTTTATTACAAAGAGGAGGCAGGTCATCTAAGTGTGCAGACGTGGTTTTTCTGCCGAAGCAGGTTCCCCATGTTAGCAAGCCCCAATATGACCTTTTCTGTGACGCTTTGCAGCGTTCCGTCTTCGACTGGCTTAGGCGCGCATAGTTGGGGTCATGAGCGCAGGCTATTTTTCTTGTTTTTTCTTCAGTTCCAGCCGGAGTATCAGTTACACGCTTAGCCTTTGGCTTTCTAATGGTGAGAAAGGCATATTGTCAGATGTGCTTCTCCTCGGTCAAGACGGGTTACTGATTCCATCAGAAAAATCATGGTCGTGAGGAGAGGAGTATGACCGCTAGAATTTTACGAATTATGGTATCGTTTTACCCCTCATTTGCCTTCACGAACATCACAAGTTCAGACTTCAATAAATTTTGTATGAAACCGAAACAATATATCACGGGACAGATGAACATTAAGCACTCGATTGCTGGCAAGTGAGACCGAAATGCTTGCAAAAGCTTGCTGACATGTCTCATCGGCTCACGCCGACCGTGAGGAGAGTGCCCTTTCTTATCTGTAGTATTTAGTGCTTTATTTTGTGGAAAAAAATAGACCATAGTAGTGCTTGTGTTGGAAGAAATCTGATAATTGTGACTGATGAGGAGGCCGTAACCACAATTTTATGAGAATTCTCAAAAGTATCTCACTACGCTTTGGGAGGATTTCTACGCGACCAACGAGCTGAATGGATAGCCGCAGTCACAACGTCACGATATTTTGGTACCAGATGACTGATTCATTTCCGAATTTTCTTTGTGGACTACCTCTAATTCTTTCTCAGAAGGGCATTTAGGAAGGGCCATTTATGGGACAAACCGGTAAAAGGAACAACCAAAATTAGAGAGACCGCATAAGCAGAGTCATAGTGGCGCCTCGTACGTGAGCATTTAGGCCAATTAGGCGATGATGGCGATGATTCAAAATTTGAATAGGTTATACAAACTGATTAGGCGATGAGGCGATTAAGCAAAAAACACTATCGATGGAGCGTATTAGACGAGATTAGCAAGTGGGCGAGTAGCGAGAAGGGTAGCGTATTGACTGTTTGCTCCGCCCATTAGCGATCGCCCAATCGCCCTACTTCGCCTATTCGCCTAATCGTAGTAATCATTGTACGGATATTTTCCACCTATAAGACGAAGTCGCACGACGAGACGCCAACTATGAAGCGCTCTTATAAGGGACTGCGGGGAAGAAAACACTAGAGGAGCAAAGGATAGCGGTGTGTGTATACTTCTTCTGATTGAGAGTGAGTCTCATTTTCAGCGAGCACTCCCTCAATGCCTGTGCCCCCCAAGGGAAGTAGCACAAGCGGCAGCAAACATCAGAAACCTGTCAAAGAAAGAAATCTATCGAAAGGAATCGAGTAGGTCGTTCATAAAATTGTTGATGATCTGATTGACCTGACGTTGTGTTTTGCAGCTGATCAAAAGCCTCTTACTGTGAGCACAGGAATGAAAGCAAGGACACGCTTGAGAATACGCCCTGAAGGAGATAAGACTGTCGTGAGTCAACAAGCTAGCCGATTACCATGTATAAAGCAGAACTAGTTCGACGGCGTCTGACTTGAGTACCACACGTCCGAGGTTGTCAGAAGGTAAATGTGTGGGTTTGGTTCTCTCAACGTTTCAAAGTGATGTAGTAGAGAACTGGAGGAGGGTCTTGAAAGAACCAATTGTTTCAACTTGAAGGAAGTATAGACCCTAGCCTTGCAGCGGCCAGGAACTTCTCCTTCAGAGCAGGTCATCACTGTTTGAGTTTGGCTGAAGGCATACCAATCACAGCATCGTAATTCCATTCAAAAATCCTGTGGATGAAACACATCTAAGGATACGATGCGGCGACGGCAGAGTACCCAGATGGAGGGGGAGGGGAGGGACCACGGTAGGCGACTGAACTGATTTAGGAGAGAATGGAGAAGTTATTACGAATGAAATCTGCTCACATACCTCAAACCTTAGTCGCTGCTAAGGCCTAGTC